ACAGTAAATTTTTGATAACCGCAAATTTATGCGGAATAACATATTACAATTTGAAGTGAAATTAATATTTTAAGAAAACATCTGCCATCATTGATTGCAATTCATCAATTTAAGCTTTTATTTAACGAAAAATTACACATCAACAATCTTTGCGATTGTCAGAATTTTCTATACATTTGTCAAAAATTTCACTACTGAGCTACTGAAATTTTATTCCCCTCATAGTTGTCAAAAATTTACTCGCTGCGAACTTTGTTACCGATTCACACACGCTCTGATGCAAAAATAAAATTTCCAAAACAAATTTTGAAAACATCGGATGGATTTGTGGATTTTTCCAAAACGATTATAACCGTCACTACTTTCTCTTTTGCCCAAGAAGAGGGGCTGAACATCTTTTGCAGAGAGCACCTTCCTGCGTAGGCGGCCTTCGGCCACACTTAGGGATTATAACCCTCACTAACTAGAATTCTCCTTTCTGTGTTGCCGAAGAAGAGGCTGAACAACTTTTGCAGAAAACCACTTTCTGCGTAGGCGGCCTTCGGCCGCGCTTAGGGATTATAACCCTCACTAAGTAGAATTCTCCTTTCTTCTTTGCTAAAGAAGAGAGGCTGAACACCTTTTGCAGAGATATTTCGTAGATATTTTTTTTTATGACAGCTCAGCTCGAAAACTTGCAAAAAATACCATATTTCCAACCGACATTATTAATAAATTAGTGCACAGATATAGTAAATTTCCACCCCTATTGCGGGCGTCGACTGGCAGTAGATAAACGACTATTAAGCGATTATCGATTATCGATGCTATGTTGTTGTTGTTGTTGTAGCAGCAGTGCTGAACCCCCCAGATTTGTCATGTGTCGTCTTCATCCTCCGACTCTGTGAGCCTGAGGCCGAGAAAGCGGGCTGCGTCGATAGGCGCGGTCCAGAGCGCTTCTGGTGTCAGGGTCGTAGGGTTGGAGGTGCACGTGAAGAGGTGCTGGGTGTCGTGGGGACCTTGCCCACATGCAGGGCATGTGTTTGCCACTTGTGTGTTCAGCCGAGAGAGGTAGCTGTTGAGTCGGTGACACCACCC